TCAGGCTGCCAAGTCACTCAGAAGCTTATGTGTCCACTACACTTGCTAAGTCAGATTTGTCAGCCACTAATGATTCCATACTTCACAAAACATGTGGATGCAATGCATCTTACTAATTTCCACACTTATGAGAAAGCAGACTTTTCAAGTTCTGTTGGTGATATAAATGTGCTGTAAACATTCTTTTTTGCCACCCTAGAAACAGATTAGAGAAAATATCATTGATGCTCAGGAGCATGTTTGCTTGTTCCCAGATTATATAGCAATTTAAACCTAATACGCACTCTCCGCAATCCCAATAGGGGACAATAATTCCTACTTCCCCAGATACAGCAGATTTGTTTTGAATTTAATGAATTTTACTGATTTTAATTGATATTCATTTCTGTTTTTCCTGTCTTTTATGCCTTTTTCCCCCTTTCCTGTGTAAGACCTGTAATTTATTGACATATTATGTGTTCAGTTCACGTTGAGGCTAGTTATTTAATAAGCTATTTTCTTTTCTAGTTATCACTGTCTAAATGTTGTCCCATAGTCAGACTTAAATGACTGTACCTCTACATCATGTCCCAAAAGTTGGAAAAGGCAACTTCTCTTTACTTTCTTTTTGAGATTTGAAAAACATAGTGCTGTACTTTGTTTTTCAGAAGGGATTGCAGAAAATTTTTGTCATGTTTATAGTTGCTTCAGTGGTATTAAAATATAATTTGAAATTGTATTAAGAATATAATTATATTATTACTATATATTAATCTAAATTGTATTAAGAATATAATTTGAAAATTTTATAGCATATCACATCAACTCTAAGTCTGTACAGTATTTTCTACATGTTCAGATTACCTTCTCCCAATTTATTTTTCTTTTGGTTTTTTTAAGACAGGGATTCTCTTTGTGTTCAGGTGACCTTGAATTCATTATGTAGCCCAGGGTAAATAAGAACTTGTGTTGTAGGTGGATATGGTGGTAAAACCTTGAAATCCCAGCATTTGGAAGGCTAAGGCAGAAGGATTGCCTTGAGTTGGAGGCCAGCCTGGCCTACATAGCGAGTTTATCACCAGCCTAAACTACATAGCAAGATGCTGTCTCAAAAAAAGAGAAAGAGGGGCTGGGGATTTAGCTCAGCAGTTCAGTGGCCTGCCTTGCAAGCACAAGGACCTGAGTTCAATCCCTGGTACCAAAAAAAAAAAAAAGAGAGAGAGAGAAAGAACTTGTGGTTTTCTTCTGCCTCAACGTACCCAACTGCCTGGCTGTCAAATTATCTACGTATTGTATTTCTCTCTATGACTATGTTGCTGATTTTTAAAGAATTTGTTGATAATGTTTTGTAAAGGTGGATATATAAATGCTTGGAAGTGTGAGGATTTCTCATTGTTGATAAAGGCTTCATTCACATAGATGTGTGAGGATTTTCTTATATAAAGCAAAATATTGGCACAGATTGAGACAAGTAGCAGAATGACCCGTCTGATAATTCCATTTAAAGCTGCCTGTAGAAGTTTATGCAAAAATTTATAAAAGTTCAATCCTCTAATTAAAATGTGTTTTTAAAAACATAGTTTCTTGGGCCGGGGATTTAGTTGAGTGGTTCCACCACCTGCCTCTCAAGCGCAAGGAACTGAGTTCGATACCCGGTACCAAAAAAAAAAAAATAGTTTCTTCCCTAAAATGTTCATTATGTTCGCTTAAGTACATTCGTTCACTTTTGATTCTATTAATAACAGGGCCAGGGATGAAACTCAGCAGCATAGCACCTGCCTGGCAAGCAGGAAGCTCTGAATTTGATTCCCAGGACCAAAAAAGAAAGACAAAAAGAAAAAATAACAACTCGTTTTTTTAAATTTCCAGTAAGTCTCATCCTAAAACCAAAGACTACTTGTTTCTCTGCAGTTACTATGTCAATACTGACCTTGATTTAAAAAAGATTTGAGAGCTATTCCTTTATACTATGTTTTTATATTCTGAATCCTTTGGCTTTTTGTATTGATACAGTTTTAGTGAGTAATAAAACTGTGAGAAAGATTATACTATTTTTCAGTTAATCTCCAACATGATAGATCTTCTTGTCCTTGACTTGTCATGTTACATCTTGATCCTTTCATCATCTGTGAATAATGATTTTGCCTCTTCCATTTCGATCCTCATGACACATGAATTTTGGTCTCATGTGACAGAACAGTGGGGATAGTGATTGTCCTGGACTCATTTCTGATCCTAAAATAATTCCTGTAGAGTGTCTCTATTTAGAGTCCCATATGTTAGTTTTTGCTATATGTACTTTATCTAGCAACTAATCCCTTTCAACTTTTTATTACAGACATTTAATGAATAATTAATAGAAATTGAGATGTAGAAAACATGTTTATGCCAAGATTCAAATAATCACGAGGTTTTTCTTTGTTGATTTACATTTCTGTCGCTGAACTATTCTAATCTTTGATAAAATATACAGCCATCACTTAATTATGATATTTTTGACTGTGTGAGTGTGTATGTTATGTGTGATTATGTGTGTGTGTGTGTTCATGTGTATGTAGTACTTCAGATTAGGCCTAGGACATCGTACATGCTAGGGACTGATGCTACCACTTAGCTTCTTGCCAAGATGAGAAGCTATTTTCTAAGAAACTCTTGTAATATACTAGTTCATGTTTTATCCCAGCTGTGAAAATCCATATGTGTAGGTGTTACCATCTTTTTTGTAACCATGTTGCCCATTTTCAGGTAAAGATCATAGTAATTTAATGACATTTCTGCAGGGATTCCCTATTTATATATGTATGTACTATTTGTAGACAGGGTCTTACTTTCTTGCCCAGGCTGACCTTGAATCATGAATTCTCCTGTCTCAGTCTCCCTAATGCTGAGTTTTGCAGGTATTTACTACCATGTATGGCTCTCCTACCCACCTTTTCTAAATTAGACATGGGAGACCTTGTCTAGCCGAGCATATCTTTTTTTTTTTTTTAGTATAATGGTTGCATTTGTATATATTTTATATCCAAAACAGATATATTTATTATGAGGAATTGGTGCATATACAAATCTCATCTTGATCTGTATCTTAAAGTTGCATATATACACCTGTAATCCCATTGGAAGATGAATTTACAAAGGGAAGTTTTTGTATGTGTGGCATAAATAATTTGACAGTTTTCAAAGAAAATAATAAGTACAAAATACCATAGAGAAATTTTCTTAGAGTATTGTGACTGGACCTCATAAGAAATCGTTTACAACAGAGAAGAAGATCATTTACAACAGAGGAAGCTCCTGATAAAACAGGAAGAGAAGTGAGAGGAATGCCCTGCCACACGGGAAATTTAAGCACATCTGCTGTCAGTATAAGCGAGACATGTGCATGGAACATGCGGTTGTCATGTGTGAAGACTGCCTTGGTTGTGACAGTTGAAGCAAAGATTATTTTTGTTGTAGAGTTCTATTGATATTTTCATTTTGGTTCATGTAGTTTTTGATTTCTGATGTTCTAGGTTTTGTTAAGCAAGCACATTGCTGATGTAAAAATGTTGCAATTCTAAGCACTCATTGCACATTGGATATTTTATTTTATTTGTATCTTAGTTCCCTGCTAAGTACACGTTTTACAACATAGTGGGAAACTTGACAAAACAGGAAGAGAGGTGATAAGAATGGCCTGCTTCATAGGAAAGCACGTCACCAATACATGTGTGTGAGGAACAAACTTGCTATGTGTGAAGACTGCCTTAGGTGTGATAATAGAAATAAAGATTTTTTTATAGAGTTCTATTGGTATTTTCATTGTAGCTCATATAGCAGTTTATTTCTATTGTCATTTTTTAAGACTTTGTAAACCACAGCAGTCAATGTAGAAAATTATGGTTTTCTATAAACAATGAGTATTAAAAATTCAATATTTTTGATATTTTCCTATTTAGTATCCATTGTTTAAAATAATAAAACTCATAAAATTAAAATTGATATTTCATCAGTTGAAGTATTCTAAAGAATAAATGTGGATGTAATACTCCCATGTTTATTTCCCTTTCTGACATAATGTTACGCTCTGCAGATATGTTATGACTAGGACAACTGAGTCAGTGGAGTTGTATGAAGAGATGGTTTTCCAAAGGTAAACAAAACATGTAAATTCTAGGCACAGAGCAATATTCAACTGCGTTGGTGAGATAATCACCAAGGCACGGGAAAAAAAGGATAATTCTGATTTGATTATTTGATCTGTACATGTAGTGTCTTGAAAATCAGGGTTAGGACTAAGGTTATTGCTTAGTGCTGAAAGACTTGGATTGAGCACCTTTGTCTCATTTAACTTGGCAATGTTGCTGAGAAGTAGGCAAATAGACTGAACTTGTGAGCAGGATTTAAACATCAGTGACTTTAAGGTGAGACCCATGTTAAAAGGCAGATGGCCCTGTAGTTGTCCTTGGTACATTTTATCCTGGAGAACTCCCTTACATTATAACTCCCCACTCCCTACATCTCTGTGCCTCGAAAACTCTAGAAGAACTGTTAAATATGGCAATCTGCAGAGTGCTGGAGAGAAGGTATTTCATGTGCGCATGGTTTTGGTAGACTCTACTTTCTTATGTTTAACTGGTTTTCGTGAGGCTTTTTCTGGAAAAATGCTTGGTTTTTACATAAAATATTGCTGTTATTGGACAAGGATTTGTACAATGTGATGTGATAACGGAATGTTAGAGACTCATTTAGGTAGTTTTTTTTAGGTCAGACAATGAAGTAAATTAATTGTATTATGTTTTTTGTTGATTGGACAATAGGTATCATGTGCACAACTGAAGAGGAAAGGCGTTATGTTAGGTCATCTTTGTAAGGGTTTTAGTTCACTTTCTCCAGGCTCAAAACAAGCATCACAGCAGAATAAAATGGAAAATGACAGCTGCCCACATCTTGATGGACATGAAACAGAGGGCAGAGAAAGTCGTGAGTGGAAGGAACCACCGAACAGAAGTAAAGCTGTGCCTACTTGATGCATGGTTAGACCCACACACAGACATGTGCTTTACTAATATGAGAGGCATCTCTGAAAGCAGTCGGGATGACCTTTGAGGCTCTCAGATAACTCCAGGTCTGATCTTTCCTGTGGTGTAATTAATGTGTTGAAGGAGACAAATTTTCAACATGTGAGGACTGTGTACTACACAAAGTTCGCAGTGTTTCTGCTTCATCACAAGGAATGACTGATGGTGGGTCATTCTCACACTCGTGATTAGAAGTATTAGTAGTCTTCATAATTTAATTTTCCTTTGTGACCTTGAATGAAGTACATTGCCTGTCTGAGAGATTTTAATATCTCCTTCCCTTTTGTACTGGTTCATTTGCATACTACTGTCATATTACTCCAGTTTCTTTGTTTATATTGTAATGATTATATTCCCTTCACAGCACCTTTTCATTTTCTTTGCTAAAAATAAGTGAACTGATAAAGCATGAGAGTCTGCTATGAAGCCAAGTTCTTCAAAGTTCTACCTGCTAAAACCTTCAGCCTTTCCTTAGATTTCACTGTATCCTGTCATTGCCTACACACAAGTTCGTTGACTGAACTGCCCATCCACAGAGAAATGGGTAAAGAAAATATGGTACTTATATACACTTGGATTACTATTCTGCAATAAAAAAGGATAAACTTAAGACTTTTTAAAAATAATGGACACATCTCAAGTCCATTATTTTAAGTGATATAAATCAGATAAAATTTAATCTAAATGTTGCATTGTTTCTCTCATGTGAGAAACCGAAAGGATAAGCAAGGAGCAAATTGGAGAACAGATATTGGGATGTAGGAAAAACTTGTATAATGGGAAGAGAAATAAGGGAGTGAGATTGGAGGGGAGGATAGGAAAGGGGGTTTTAAAAAGAATGGAAGAAAAAATAGAAGCAAAGCTTTTGTAAATGCAAAGGGAATGAAGGTCGGAGGGGAATGGGAAAAAAAGAATTGCGATATATTATGCACAGGTACAAATTCCACATGATAAATGTGATCATTTGGTATGGCAAACCTGTACTAGTAAAGAAAAAGCTGTGTCTTAAAATGAAATTTTGGCTTATTAATAAAGGAGCTGTGGATCATTGCAAGAGATCAATGAAATTAAAATATTACTAACAAGATATCACAGAATCATGAACCTACTTGACTCTATAAAACTCACTGGAAATGGCAAGTATCTTTGACAGAGAAACTGGCATTAATGGAGCCACTGCTCTGTCTACTTCTGCAATGAACACCTTGGAGGATAGAAAGACATATAAAGTATGCAGTAAAGGAGCTTACTAGCCAAGGCTGTAAGTCAATGATTGAGCACATAAAACCACCAGACCTGTACGTGCCCGTAATCCCAGCAGTTGGGAGGTTGGGGCAGGAGGATCACCAAGAGTAAAAGGCCACCTGGGCTACATAGTGAATTCACGGCCAACCTGAATTACAAAGAGTGACCCTATCTTGAAAAAACTCACATACTATGATCATAGAGCCAAGAATAGCAGTGATAATTAATTTTTCAATTGTTTGTTGTGATTCAGAAGTGTATATATAACCCTTGAGATAATATGTACACCCATGGAATACGAGGCATTTTTACATACCAAAAAGTTTGTTTATGTCTGACAATTTACTTCAAATGAATCAGCTTTATTATCCCATGAGGAACTGTTGGAAGCAAATACTCCTTCGAATTGAGCTCAGTTGAAAGAGTGCACTGATAAATTTTTCTGACCCTTTGGCACAGCTGTTTTGCCTATATCCTGTGATCAATAGGTCATATAAAACTGTGCTCCATTTCACTGCTTTCTGCCTCAAACAAGGAAACTATGTTTTTTGAGGTTGCTTTTTTGGGGCGTCTCAGTATCCAAAATGTATAAGGTAGTTTATTTGTCCTAAGTATTAGACATTACAGAAATAATACATAGTTTGGAGACATTTGTCTTTTCAGTAATGCTGTGTTTATTTGCCCAACATGCTTAATGAATGTGCCTAAAATGCAATAGGCTACATGCATTCTTCATTTAACAACTGACTCCTGTTCCTGTGATTAGTCGCTAAATTTCACTGTTAGATATTCTCCAGTGAATACTATAATACTTTTCATTAACATTTTAAATTACCATTCATGGATTTTACTTTGTGTTTAATTACAGTTTTGTCTATGAAACCCAATTTCAAGTTTCCCAGTGCTGTTTTAAGTTTAATCAGAAGAGGAAAGGAATCTGTTTCCTAAATAATAACTTGAAATAGAGATGTTTCCTATGTTCTGTCAGGTCAAGTCATTAGATTCTCATCTACCCCAGTTCTTTTTACCCTGTCTGATGAGTAGGCTCTCTCCATGAATCATGCTTTACAGACAGTGGGGAAATAAAATGTTAGCCAGCCCAAGAACCAGTATTCCCATTCTGTTGTTTCATTAGCAGTGAATTCCCATCTAGCATCAAAATTCCTTTGTGATAAGTACATATGGATAAAGATTAAGTGTGTTTGATGACCAAGGTATGGAGTAACTGTCGTGGGACTCAGCTTCATTTTGGCTTTTTATGAGTAGATGTGAGATATTTCATATTGTGAGTCTCACTCTTCTTGGAAATATATTTCTTGATGATTTAGAAGGCAGTGACCTTTGAGGATGTGGCCGTGAACTTCACCATGGAGGAGTGGGCTTTGTTGGATCCATCCCAGAAGAAGCTCCACAGAGATGTGATGTGGGAAAACTTTACAAATGTGACTGCTATAGGTAAGGAAGATATCTGTTCTCATTTATTCAGAGAGCATTAGTTATTGCTCATCAGTGCAATTTGCTTTGTTGGAATGTAGAAATATTTTCATAAATCTTCTGGGAATGGTCACATTATATCATGAATCTAACTGGAAGCTAACACTTTATGTAAGCTAGTAACTTATTATTATATTTCTTTTTCTATACTTTAGGAAGAAACTGGGATGACCAGCAAATTGAGGATGAGTACAAAAATTTCAAGAAAATTTTAAGGTGATTTGCATTTACCACACTGTTTCCCAAAGGTCAGAAATAATATAACCAAACAAACTGGATAAATGAGGCCGTGTTAAAAAAAATTCAGAGAGCCAGTCATGGTGGCACATGCCTGTAATTCCAGCACTTGGAAAGGAGACAGGAGGATTGCCAGGAGTTTGAGACCAGCCTGTGCTACAGTAAGTTCATGGCTGGGCTGAACTATGTAGGTAGACCTTGTGTTAAAAAATCCAAAAAACAAACATTGAGGCCATGTTCAGATTTCTTTAATTGTACAAAATTTCTCCAAAGATGCATACGTTTAGTGTCTAGAATCTGACAATTGAATATTTGAAATATTTATGTATCTGAAATTAAATATTGACATGGCACAAGTGACATTTTATAATGTATAATAATTATTTTCAATGCTCAAAATTATGAAACTTGAATGAAATTGTTTTATGCATTACAAGTATATATTTAAAATTTTTCATGTTTAGATGAGAGTCAAGTACAGAATATCTAATTACATATACATATATTTTCAAAAGACTGCTTTCTTATCAAACAAATTATATATTTAATGCCGTATGTATTTAAATGTGCTACACACTTTCAGTATTTGCAATGTGGGTAACTTTGAGGAGCTATTCCAAATTCAAATGAATGCCCCTGTTTTGATAATAGCTGTTTTCAAGCAAACCTCCAAAACATTTAATCCATTTTTATTCCAAAATACAGTATTAAAAAGCACCTCCCCATAACATTGGTGGGAATGTCACTGTATTATAACACTTATGGGAATGTGTGTACAAGTCCCTCAAAAAAATAAAAATAGAAATTTCATTTTATCCAACTTTACTTCTACTGGGTGTATTCCCCCTAAGTGAAATTATATTATACTGATACAGGCATATCTATGATTGTAGCAGTAAAACTTATAAAAGTAAAGCTCTGAAAACATCCTAGATGCCCATTCACAGATGAGTAGAAAGGAAATATGGTATAGCTCGGGCAGGATGGAGCTTACTGGGAAGCTGAGGTGCATTCATGCTCAGCCTATTAATAATTGATAAGACTCAGTCTCATAATAAAAGATAAATAACTAAAAATGTAGCTCAGTGCTAAAACCCTGGCTTCACTCTCCAGCGCTAAAAATTATGTGGTGTGTGTGTGTGTGTGTGTGTGTGTGTGTGTATATATATATATATATATATATATATAGAGAGAGAGAGAGAGAGAGAGAGAGAGAGGGAATGAAATGATGTCTTTTGCCAAAAAATACATGGATCTGGGAGCCAAATCATATTAAATAAGATTTAATCATGTTAAATAAAATTTAATACCACATATATTTTATATAAGATGCAAAATATGAACTAAGTAGAATAAAGGAGAGATGGTAGAAAAGAGAGGCAGACATTTTGGAGAGGGTGAACAGGCTCAGTAGTGGGGGGAGGGTAAAATCATGGAGGAAAAAGGTGTGAAAAAAAATCAATGTATGGTATACATATGTACCAATTGTTCAAAATGAAAGTAACCAGCATGTATCGCAAACATACCACTTCCAAACTCTCAAATGAATACTGTTTTGGTAAAAGCTGTGTGCAAGGCATCATCTAGAGTGTACAGTAAATTCATGATCATATATGCTTAGGGGTCATCAAATCAGATCTCCTGATAAACCATTAATATAAAGACACTTTTAGATGTGACTAGTTGTTTTGTTTTGTTTTGTTTTGTTTTGTTTTGTTTTGTTTTGTTTCCTTTGACAGAAGTGCAGAAGTAGATAAATGCTCACAATATAAATTATGGTATCAACATAAAGAGAAGGTTTTTATGAATCCCAACACAACTGTGCACATGAAACTGCTTGGTATAAAAGCAGGTGAAAGCCTTGCATGTGAAAAGCCTCTGATTGGTCATTCATTGCCAACCATGCCCATCATATATAACACAGGACTCAAATCGTATGAGCTCCATGGATTTGAACAGAAGGTGTATAACTGTAGCAGACGTGAGAAAACATCCACTGACTTTCAGTCCATTCAGAAATATGCAAAAACAAATCCTGAAGAAAAACCCTATGGATATAAGCAATATGGAAAATCCTACTCTGATTGCACTGAAGGTAATAATACTGAAGAGAAATCCCTTCTATATGAGCAAGATGTGAGAGCCTTTAGTACACCCAGCTATGTCCAAATCCAGGAAAGAAACCACAGTAGCGTGACTACCTATATATGTATACAACGTGGAAAAGGTTTGAATTCTCACCTTGATGCTCAGAAACATGAAAGTGCTCAGACTGGAACAAAATCCTATGTGCATGAATACTCTTGGAAATCCATAAATACTAACACTTCATTTGGTAACCATGGAAGTCCTCACATTGTTGGAAAACCCTATGTATGTAAGCAATGTGGAAAAGCTTTCAGCATACAGAGTCATTGTCGAAGACATGAAAGAATTCACACTGGGAAGAAACCCTACATATGTAAACAGTGTGGAAAAGCTTTCAGCAGGCACAGTTCTTGTCAAATACATGAAAGGACCCACACTGGGGAGAAACCCTTTGTATGTAAGCAGTGTGGCAAAGCTTTCAGCACACACAGTTATTGTCAAAGACATGAACGATCTCACACTGGGGTAAAACCCTATGTATGTAAGCAGTGTGGGAAAGCTTTCAGCACTCAGGGTAATTGTCAAATACATGAAAGGACTCACACTGGAGAGAAACCTTATGTATGTAAACAATGTGGGAAAGCTTTCAGCATACATGGTAACTGTCAAACACATGAAAGAACTCATACTCAGGAAAAACCCTATGTATGTAATCAATGTGGAAAAGCTTTCACTACACACAGTTCTTGTCTAATACATGAGCAAACTCACACTGGGGAGAAACACTATATATGTAAGCAGTGTGGGAAAGCTTTTAGCAGGCACAGTGTATGTAAAATACATGAAAGGACCCACACTGGGGAGAAACCCTATGTATGTAAACAATGTGGGAAAGCTTTCAGCACACACAGTCATTGCAGAAGACATGAACGAACTCACACTGGGGAGAAACCCTATGTATGCAAGCAGTGTGGGAAAGCTTTCAGTACACATGGTAATTGTCAAACACATGAAAGAACTCACACTGGGGAAAAACCATATGTATGTAAGCAATGTGGGAAAGCTTTCAGTACACACAGTTCTTGTCAAACACATGAAAGGACTCACACTGGGATAAAAACCCATGTATGTAAGCAATGTGGGAAAGCTTTCAGCACCCATGGTTCTTGTCAAATACATGAACGGACTCACACTGGGGAGAAACCCTATATATGTAAGCAATGTGGGAAAGCTTTCAGCAGGCACAGTGTATGTAAAATACATGAAAGGACTCACACTGGAGAGAAGCCCTATGTGTGTAAGCAATGTGGAAAAGCTTTCAGCAGGCAGAGTGAATGTAAAATACATGAAAGGACTCACAGTGGGGAGAATCCCTATATATGTAACCAATGTGGGAAAGCTTTCAAGAGACAGAGTCATTGTAAAACACATGAAAAGACTCACACTGGGGAGAAACCTTATGTATGTAAGCACTGTGGCAAAGCTTTCAAGAGACAGAGTCATTGTAAAATACATGAAAGGACTCACACTGGGGAGAAACCCTATGAATGTAAGCAGTGTGGGAAAGCTTTTACCAGACACAGTCATTGTCAGAAACATGAAAGGACTCACAATGAGGAAGAACCCTCTGTACGTAAGCAATATGGAAACACCTTTCAGTTATTCTGGTAACAATCACAGATATTAAAAAATTAAAAGGAAATTAACTCTGAATACATAAACGTGACTTGTGCTGACATGAAAGGACAGTGCAGAGAAGCACTTTTGCAATATTTAAAAATCAGTGTACCAGTATTATTATATACCTGAAAGAATCCATAGAACAGAGAATCAGAACATGTGAAAAATATGGGAAATGTTTTATTTTTTTAGTGCATTCAAGTTCATGAAGATTTATATAAAGGAAGCCATTGTGTGCAATAAATGTGGGAGACACTTGCATTTTTCCACTTACCATGAAAATCATGAACTGCCAGTGAAGAGAAAGCCTATGTAAATAATGTGTGAAAGGTTTTTTGATTCTTATAACATCAGAAAACTCAAAATGAGATTTAGTATAAATACCAAATGTGAGAAAACTAAGAATCAGAGTGACAGATATACACAGGTGTTATACTGATTCACAGCACACCTGTAGAGGCCTTCCTCTGATGTATCTGTGGATTAATACACTGATAAGGTTGGAAAGGGCATAATGTTAAATTCAGAATAACAAAGCACCTTGCCTCCAAGTCTTCAATACAGGCCTTTTAGGGACATTTTTACATGCAAACCATCGCCTTGGTTGTATGGGTAGATTTTATTCATACAATGATACTTTATTGAGTCTTGAAAGGAAATCCTCCATTTGTGAAAAATGTAGATCAACCAAGAGGTCATTATTTGAAATATGCCACACATAGGCAAATAAAAGGTTTTTAACGTCTAAAGTTGACACCTTTGAAGAAGCAGAGAGTTTAGTGTTGGTTGCCATGTGTGTAGGTGGGGAAATTGATGTTAATGAGAAAGCGCAGTGTTTCTCTTGTAGAATACAAAGTGGCATAGATCCCATAGTGATTGCAGAGATTGAAACGGTGCCATGTACATTACAATTGGCTCAAAGTTGTTCCTAGTGTTTTCTACATATATCCAAAAGGTTATTGTGTAGGGGAAGCTAGTGCCACCAAGAAAGAATGTCCTAATTTCACAATATGAACAGCAACAGATTACACTGTAAATGTTCAATATATGATTTTGTTTCTTAATGAAATGAATCCAATTAAAGGTAGCAAAAATTACATGACTATGATTGCATGCTGTATCCATAGACTCCTTCAATTTCTACAAGTGTAATTTAGTTTGTACTGAAATTATTGAGCATTTCAGTGAAATTTGTACTTGGTTCATTGGAAATGTAGTTTTTTGAGGATATAATTTGGAAACAATTGACATCGTGAATTTGTTTCATCACATTTTGACAAAGTTCTTACATACATGTTCAGAAAACTTTCTACATTTTAAAAGCACTTAAAGCTCGACTGATTTAATTCACTTAACATTGTTTTTAAAGTCTATGTATTGTCCTACAAATACCTTGAATTTATCTTTCTTTATAGCCAAGTAGTATTCCATTATGCATAGATATATTGTCTTCATTCACCTATTAGTGGACATATATGAGGAAACAGAGAGATAGCTCTTTGGCAAATGGAAGGGAATCAGGAGGCCAAGGATAGGAAGGAGGGGACATAGAAAGATTTAATGTCATGTACCAACAATACACAATGAATGCAATCTTTATAGGTCACAAACAACAGTTCATGTTTCAGACAATGATGATAAAGAAATTAAGAAACATGATCTAGAGCCAGAAGGACAGTGGTAAGTGAGGAGAGGAAAGGAAACCATAAACAAAATGTTAAGTACGTGCCCCTGCTCTCTAAGTTGGATGGGGAGGATGTGTTCTTCAAACATGTATTCATTAAAATGCATAATACTTTAATACTTGACCCTGTCTTAGTGCATTGCAGTGGACCTAACTGAAATACCATACAATTGTTCACCTTATGAAATAATTATTTCTCACAGTTGTGAAGCCTCGGAAATCCAGCATCCAAGCACTGGCAACTTCAATATCGAATGAGAAATGTTTTACCTATGGTGACTTCTAGTCAAGTTCTCATATCATTACCTTGGGAATTAGGTTTTAAGACATGGATTTTGAGTTAACTACACATTCAGAACACAGAAATTATATGAGGTTATATTGTGTGTTGAACAATGTAGTGGATTGTATGAGGTTTCATGTGTCCTCCAGAAGTATTTATGTTGACATACAGTGCACACTTTGAAGTATTTTGAGGACAAAAATTTAAGCAATCTTTTGCAATTAGAATTTAGAAGAAATAATGCAATTATAGACTTGATGAACTGAATTAGGCACAAAGTTTTCCTGAAGGAAAGACAAGTTTGATCACCATTTATTTTGAAATCCTCAAAGTGAGTATTAAAAGTAAATGACAGATACAAATCTTTGCCAGGCTCATAAAATAATTTTCCATGTTATCAGTGCTGGCTGCTTCCTGAGTGAATTAAGCTTCTATCAGCATAGTCAAAAATTGTTATAGAGGACAGAAAAAGAATATTAAAGATGAAGTTTCTGAGATCGTCGGAGAATCAGCATAGAATCTGCAGTGTGGTGGCAAGTTTTAATTTCACAAAGTCAGACCAGTGCAATGTACTTCCAAATGTAGTTCATTTCCCCACTTACCACTTCTTTTCCAAAAAAAAACAGGTGATTGACAGGATCACATCCTATCACTTAGCTTGAATATCTGACTTCTATCAAACTCACTCCATTAATTACTACACCAGCGAGTTCTGTGTTCTCCGAGTAGTATAACCCTACTTGTCATTTCCCACCTACCCCTAACACCTCAGTTTAGTGCAGTAATGTCTTCATTGGCTTCTTCCTCTTTCAAAATGGAAACACCCCATTAGAATTTTAAGGGGCACATTTCACATCTGTGGCCATTTTGCATCTTTCAGGCCTAATTTTTATAATATGCATGCTGAAGGCCAGAATTACTTCTTTAGAAAGCATATGGAAATTTGAGGTCTGCATTCAATACCCCGTAAACATACACTTAGAACATGAATACATCCAATATGCAGGTCTTTGTCCATGCATTATATATTCAATATTTTAAGGACCTTTTGAGGTACAGTTCTGATTGATTGATTTTACTGATGAAACACCTGAAAGCTAGAGAAATTTTAAAATACCACAAGTTCTCAGCTTGGGTTACTGTGGGAAAGTTAAAATTATGTGTATGGGTGTAATTCTACCCTCTTCTGTCCTTATTTTTTTCTCTGATCCATATGTCATGCATCATGAATTGTTCTGCTGTCTGGTCTTTTCCTCATTCTTTTATTCTGTGAAGGAGAATCATTTGTGAATTGATCTTGTCATGTCTATAATGTACTCCTGTCATTATGGATCCTATTATGAGATGCCTTGGTATGTGTCCATCTGCTGGTTGAGTTGAAATATTACAAAATAAAGGAAAGGTTCTGGCTCATCTCATGTCTCCAGTGAAAGTTTTCTAAGCTCCCTGCCTTGTGAGGATTACATAATGTATGTTTGTTATGGAAAAGGTGATAGGAATGGAGAATACCATAGTGGGAAATGGCTTCACTGACAGACCAAAAATATGCAATGTGTTACCTACTTACATATAAATGCCTTGCCGGGCATGGTGGCACATGCCTATAATCCCAGCACTTGGGAGGCTGAGGCAGGAGGATCACTGTGCATTCAAGACCAGCCTGGGCTACATTGTAAGTTCGAGGTCAGTCTCAACTACACAGTGAGACCGTGTCTCAAAAAAAACAACAACAAAAAACAAATGCCTTGATTCTTCATGTACTGAAGGTTTAATGAAGTGAAAATTGAGGGATAGCAAAAATGTCACTTTCCACATGCACAAAGCTGTCTCTGGGCTCATGGATGACCACAGTTAAGGAGACAGTGATACAGACAGGATCAGAGACCTCAAAAGTCTACCCAGTCAAAGGTGGCGCCTGGGTGATAGTAATGACTATGCTTTTAAACTAGGGTACCTGAGACTGATTACTTCCTTTTTCTGAGCCTGTTTTTTTCCTCTCTCTCTCTTTTCTCATTGAGTTCATTGGTACATTTTAGGTATACAGTACAGTTACATTCATCATTGGGATCTTGTACCTTTACATGACAGGTCTTGGTTCTCATATTTTTCCCATTCCTCTGCTCTCCCTTCACCCCCTCCTCCATTCCCTAGTTACAAAAACTTTGTTTCCATTTTTTCATTTTCTCTTATTTTTTCTTTTCCCTTATTTCCTTCCCCCACCCTTCCCGCTTCCCCTACACCCTTAGCCCTTTTCTTCCTATTTCCCATTGTCAGTTATACCATTTGGATCTTATTGACACTTTTAGTTTTTCACACCAGAGAAACTGTTCAGAATTTACACATGTGTGACTTATTTCACTTAAGAGTATGACATCAATATGTATCCATTTTCCTATGAATGACTAAGTTGTCATTCTTTATAGCTGAGTAGTATTCCATTTTATAGAAAAACCACATCTTCTTTATCCAGTCTCCAGTTGATGGGCAATTGGGCTGTTTCCAAGCTTTAGCTATTACAAACCGTACTGCTATAAATATGGGTGCACCTATATCACTGCGGTATGATTCTTTTAATTCTTTTGGAAAGATACCCAGCAGAGGGATAGCTGGGTCAAATGGGGCCTCATCCTAGGTTTTTTAGGTATCTCCATATTGATTTCCATAGTGGTTGCACCAGTCTGCACTCCCACCAACAATGGAAAAGGGTTCCTTTCTCCCCACAGCCCCACCAACATTTGTTATTGGTTGATTTCTTAATAGCAGCCATTCTTTCTGGGGTGAGGTGGAATCCCAGTGTTGTTTTCATCTGCATCTCTCAAATGACCAGGGATGTGGAACATTTTTTCATATATTTATTTGCTGCTTTTTTTTCCTCTTTTGAATAAATAAGGCTGGCCGATGAATACACTGAGATTTTAACTGATATCAGAATGCTCTTTGTAATATTAAGTGTCCAAGGAACTAGACTTTTGCATTAGTGATACAGGGCCAGGTGTATTATCCTTGAGTCAAAAAAAAAGGTCTTCCTTCACCTTAATGTTATCTCTGTTTTCCAACAGATAAAGAAGGCTGGGAAATTAAAAATGCCTTAATATTGATGATTCTGTATACATATACATTTTGATTTCCACCATGATTGAATAATTAAGTCTGTATTATATGTACAAGGAGAAGTTGGTGTATTTGGAAACTTCAGGATTGACCCTTATGCCAATCTCCATTTCACTCTAGTATTTGGTGGCTGTGCTGTGTAGCCTTTGTGTGACAGAACCAACAATACGGATCAGCTAATGGGGCATTCATTTTTGTTGACCAACAATTTGCCATTCTTGTAAGCTGTTTTCACATTTCTTTTTTTTTTTTTTTTTTTTTTTTTTGTGTGTGTGTGTGTGTGTGTGTGCCCAGTATCAAACTCAGAATCCTTGCACTTGTGAGGCAGGCAATGGAACCAGTGAGCTAAATCCCTGGCTCCTCTTTTCACATTTCTGCTGAGATGAGAATATGTCCATGAAGTATGTTATATTTGCCCAAAAAAAGACAATAGCAGAACAGTAGAGAACTTCCTGAAACAGGAGAATTGAAATATACTTCTTCACCCTGACAATCTGGGTTCAACTTACATGGTGGCAAAACCTTTTACCTAGGCTTTTGCAGACACAAGAGTAATAATTCTCTCAGATACTTCACAGTCTACACACAGCCCAATTTTTTAAATTAAGTTTATTGGTACATTTTAAGAATGCCATCTCTCCGTGCTCAGCAGCTCACATGCCTTTGCTTGCTGTAGTCTCTGTTCTCAATGTGAATCCATCATTTCCTAGTAAACTATGTAGTTCAAATGATTGCAGGTATAAAGTGCCACCTCTTCTATGATCTTGTCAGTTTCACACTCCTTCTTTCATATTTTCATGGCACCTTGTACTCATTTATTTTTTTACTAGAGTCACCACAGCAATATTTGTTCTCTTTTCTTATGAAAATATTGAAGATGCTGATGATCGGAGTCTGCATACAGTGTGGTGATGGTACTTAATTCCCAGTGCTGTGGCAACTTCTTGAATGACTTGGCATGTGATTATTGCTCTTGATAGACTTAGTCAGTACAAATGAAGAAATCACTTTTTAAAGAAGGACTTAGCACCTCCAACGCCCATTCAGACCTGGTGGGCAAGGCTTCTGTCCACCCAGTAAAGTTGTCAGTGTATACCAGGATGTGAGTGTACTTACATATGGGCATATGAGTGAAGTCTGTTTGCCAGCGTTTTCCAGGAAAGGACCCTTTCTTTGTACTGATTCGGGCAATGTGGAAGGATGAGTCTTGGTAACATGGCAGGCACAGATACAACCTGAGTTACCATGCTATAGAATCCAGGCAGGACAAATAGTCTGCCATAGAGGTGGTGACATGGCACACTAGGTGGAAGGCATCATGTAGGAACTTAACGATTTTCCATTGCACTTGTCACAAAAATACTCAGGGCCCCACATATCAATGTTGGCCCTGTGGAACTATCCATTACAAATCGTTCGAAGCTCTTCTGTAGAGTGTCTTGTCTCTAACCCACGATCTGGAATGGGACCGTGAGTAGAGCTGTTTGATGGGCCATAATTATTTTGGAAAGTGGCAATTTAGCAATGAAATCTGCCTTAGAAGTTCTCTGGGAGAAAGAACCCAAGGAGGCTTAATATCCCAGCAATGGACCACTGTTGCCTCGCTTGGGATATTTACTGCCTCTGGGAGATTGAAGATCTCTAGTCCATGTATGTTGGAGATTGGTGTCTACTCAAAATTACTCTATTCCACATGACCACGTGTGCCTTAGGACCAGAAAGGGAAATTTGGAGTCAGTATATATAGTGACTCTCTTGCCCAGGGCAAGTTGGAGAGCCTGAAGGAGGGCAGTAAGTTCTGCCTTGGAAGAAGTCCCGGGGGTAGCAGTGCTTCGAAGACCTAGGTAGGACTGACGATGGCATATCCTGCCCTCCTAATGCCATCTTTAATGAATCTGATGCCCATGTGCTAGCCATCCTTGTCAAAGCCTGGTCTCTCAAACTGAGGCAGCCGGCACAATTCTGGGTGATGTTTATATCAGACCCATGGTCTGTTGGTTATTTGAGGAGGGAGACTGGACATAAAACAGTGCAAGCCTGAAGAGAGACATCTAGGTTTTCGGTAACAATGGCCTGATGTCTAGTGAGTCTTTCTCCAGTCATCCAGAAATGTCCCTGTAGTTCTAACAGAGCCTTACACTCAGGTAGCATTAGAACTAAGAGCATTCATTCCTATGTTATCTTAGAAGCTTCCTTGACTAAGAGTGCCACAATGGCTATTGCTCACAGGCAGCTAGGACAGCCCTGTGTCATCCCATCTAGTCATTTGGAAAAGTAGGCAACTGGACAGATCAAATGGATTTCAAACCAACACTAATTAAGAGAGACAAAGAAGGACACTACCTCCTTCTAAAGGGAACAATCCAAGAGGAAGACATAACAATCATAAATATATATGCACCAAACAGTAATGCACCCAACTATACAAAACATACTAATGGACATGAAAAATCAAATAAGCACTAATACAATAGTAGTGGGGACCTGAGTACCCCACTATCACAAATAGATAAATCAACTACATAAAAAATAATGAAATATGAGAACTTAATCAAACTCTTGAACAAATGAACTTCACAGATGTTTACAGATTCTTCCACCCAACAATATCACAATACACATTCATTTCAGCTGCACATGGGTCATTCTCCAAAATACACCACAAACTTGCTCATAGAACATGATTTAAGTAAGTGCAAAGAAATTGAAGTTATCTCATGTATATTATCAGGGCATAGTGCAATGAAATTGAAGAGCAATAGCAAAATAAATCACATGAATTTCATAAACACAGGGAAATTTAACAAAACAGACCTGAATAACCAATGCATCACAGAAGAAATGAAAGAAGAAATCCAACACTTTCTACAATTAAATGCCAATGCCAGTACAACATATAGAATCTATAGGACAAAATGAAAGCAATCTTACAGGGGAAATTTATAGCAGTGAATACTCACATTAGGAAAAGAGAGAAAGAGCTCAATTAAACAACCTGATCTGAACCTGAAGCTTCTAGAAAAAGAAGAGCAGGACAAACCCAAAGTTCATAAAAGGGAGGAAATTACAGAGATCAGAGCAGAAATCAGTGCAATGGAGAATAAAAGAAAGATACAAAAAAATAATGAAGCAAAGAGTTGGTTCTTCAAAAGAATGAACAAAGTTGACAAGCCCTCAGCCAACCTTATCAAAAAAAAAAGGAAGGAAAAGACCCAAATCCATGCAATTAGGAAGGAAAAGGGTGAAATTACAGTGGATCCAGCAGAAATCCAGAGGATCATCAATACCTACTTCAAGAACCT